CACTGAATGTTTAAACTGTGTGTCTGGATTGAAGTCATCCAGAGTTAACATGACTGAGCGCTCAGCTGGAATTCCTCCCCCTGTCTCCACCACAGTATGGGATCGTGCTGGACGCTGGATCCTCCCACACAGCTCTGTATATCTACGAGTGGCCGGCGGAGAAAGATAACAACACTGGACGAGTTGAGCAGACACATTCCTGCAAAGTCAAAGGTAGGGTAGGCTGCGCCATGTGTCACACGGCCACACACATTCAGGCGCACAACCTCTAATGCAAGTATTTAAGTGAACTCACATTAACATGCACACAGTTATATATTCCACTTGACCTTTAGCAAATGTTACTTCTGCAACACTGGAACAATTCTCTAGCTTTGAAAACATCAATAGTGACAGACTTGTTCATACCACCTTCTTTATGAGGGGTTAATAAGTTGTAAATAATGGATTTATTAATGGTCAATAACTCATTCATGCTTCATAGATCAGTTATTAGGCATAATATAAACAACTTTTGGGTTGCCACAGACAAATGAAATGCAGCATTATTTGTTTTGTCTTCTAGTCTAATGGACAGTGCAACCAATTATTTTCTCAATTAACTGAATAATTGTCCGGTCTTTCAAGTGCCAGGAAATTGTGAATGGGCGCATCACAACTCCATAAAGCCCCAGGTGACGTCTTCAAAATGTCCTTGTTTAGTCCGACCAACAAACCACTCAATTCACAAAAGCACCTAATCCTCATGCTGGAGGAGCTGGAGCCAGATAATGGTTGGCTTGGTTTAGCTTGAAGAATGACAATCAATCAGTTACCAGTAGTTGCTGATTGTTTTTGTCCATCTATTAACTGACTAATCATTTTAGCTCGAAACTGCATCTGCAGCCAAAATCTATTTATAAAAAACTCATTAATATCTAAAACCCCAGACCTGATGGATTATTGTATTGGAATATCACTTTATTAATAATTTACTTGCTTCAGATGTGATGGCTCATTATAAACATGACGCTCTACTAATGGCTGACTCACTTTGTGCTAAGCTGAGTAAAAAGCATTGGGTTCCACTTTGCTAATCAAGTCCCCAAGTCTGTTGTAAAGATGAATAAGTTTTTAATAAATGAATTTCAGTGCGGGTGATTTGAAGCTGTTCTTTTTTTTCCCCAAACGATTCATTGGACGGTCTTTCACAATGAATTAAGAGATCGCTAATGAGACAAAGCAAATTGTGCTCGAGATCTATAGCCTACACCAAACAAATACATTTTCACACCATGGCTATGGAAACATACGACACAGACAAGATCTTCTCCTTCAACAGCAAATGTGTGTTTCTCCTCTATACACAGAACTATTCCTTTACCATATACCACATTGTAACTATTGTCTTTATTGAATCCAAATGTGTCTGAAGTGCCTCAGCCAAAAGGGAACTTCTTATGCAAACAATTGTTTTGGCTGGCTTATTAACACAGCCTACATGACAGACAGGCCTGTCAAACCGACTCCTGCTGTTCACTTCTCTTCTGTAAGCTGATTTAACTACTGCTTTTTATCTATCAAAGCACCGTCAGTGTGTGATGGCCTCTTTCATCATGTTATTTTCATCAGTTATCAAAGCTTAAAGCAGAACCCTTTCATAGGCACCAGACCGTGGATTCCCGCACACAATGGGATCAACACGTCTCAGAGTTAAGTTTGCTTTAAACTACGGCACCCAGCTGTTTTTCTGAGCCTTTTTTTTTTTTTTTTCATATATAATTGAAATTATATTTTTGTGCTGTTTTTAAAGACTTATGTCGTTAGTAGCAACCAGTCTCGAGGGTGAGTGCCACAGACAGGGTATATTCTGAGATGAACTTGCTGATTTTCATCTTTTCATGTGATTTGTGAACAGCCAGAAAAAAAACAAAAAAAAAAAATTACACAAGTTATATCCAAAACACCAGTAGAGCACACATAATTTCAGGATAAGGTACTTGCTCAAGGGAAGGTACATCAGGGATGTTGCAGGATGCTCCCTTTCCTTGGCAGTGCATGAATTTCAGAAGATGTCCCTCGAATCTCAAGAATCTCTCAACGCAAGGATCTCATTATGATTTATGGTCACTGAATTTAGGCTGAATGACTTCATCCTCCCATTGACATTTTGTTCTTCCTTCAGGTCCAGGTATCTCCAGCTATGCATCAGCTCCATGGAGAGCAGGGGAGTCTCTGAGAGACTGCATGCAGGAAGCCAAGCTGCGAGTTCCCGGGAAAAGACACCCCGAGACCCCCCTTTATCTGGGGGCTACTGCGGGAATGAGATTGCTCAAGTACAGTACACATCCACACATAATCAAACATAAAACATGCATCCAAAAAAAAAAACAAAAAAAAACCTGCATCCCAAGCTTCAACTCTGGAATTGTTCTGGCAGTCAAATGCTGTCCATAGACTTTTCCATCCTCCTATTTTTATGATTTATCTCTACATGAACTTTACTGCCAGAGCAGCAAATATGTTACTGTCAAATCCATTATATGCTACACAGTCCATTTATTATTTATGTGCTGCTGTATTGATTTGAATTATGAATGTGACTCAATCTAATGAATTTGTGTTGTTGTGTGCATGCAGCACTGAGAACAGCTCAGCATCAGACATGGTCTTCCACGCTGTGGAGGAAGCCCTGCAAAAGTCCCCATTTTCCTTTCAGGGAGCAAGGATTCTAAGTGGCCAGGAAGAGGGGGCCTTTGGCTGGGTCACAGTCAACTACTTGGACGATCGCCTAAAACAGGTTTGTACACGTACCAGATGCGTGTCTTTTCACGTTTGTCCACTTTTAGATGTGCTTTGTGTGAGTCAATCGGTGGGCTACTGCTGTGCACCGACTTCAGCGCCTTTTTGTCTCTGCTGCAGGGCCTGGAAACCACAGGCGCCCTTGACCTTGGCGGGGCGTCCACTCAGATTAGCTTTGTATCCGATAATTTTGACGGCTCGGAGTCACCCGAAAACGCCATGGCCTTCAGACTCTACGGAAATGACTATAACCTGTATACCCACAGCTTCCTGTGTTACGGTAAAGACCAAGCGCTACGTAAGGCGCTGGCACAACAGACTCAGGTAAACTTCTGGCTTAAATTTCTCCATTAACATTAATGTGAATCTAATCAAATCTGAGATGATTGCTGATGATTGATGTGCAAGACTGAAGAAGCAAAAATATTAAGAATCAATTCACTTAACCTACTCTGTCTATTACACCTCTTTATCGCAATATCTCTCCTAGTCAGGTCCAGGAACAATATTAGATCCGTGTTTCCACCCTGGCTACAATGAGACAAAGAACTACTCAGTCCTCTATGACAGCCCCTGTGTGTCAGACAGGAAACCCCAGGGAGCTCCTGCAACCTTTACTCACTCGGGGAAAGGAAACTTCTCACAATGCCTGGATGTTGTAAAAAGTATCTTCAACTTCACGTACTGCAGATACAGCCAGTGCTCTTTCAATGAGGTCTTCCAGCCACTTTTGCAAGGGCCATTTGGGGTAGGTTAACACAGGTGTCAGTGTTTATTTATCAGCATATATCAGTGACCAACTGAGATGCTGTGTGCTGTATGGACACACAGAGCAGTTACAACATGCAGATCTATCTGTTGTAATCTTGAAATGTCACAGTCCAGCAAATGACTTCTGTTTTGAGCATGACTTGTCTTTCTGATCAGTGATGGCTGAAGTAGCAAATGCAAATTGTTGTTCCTGATTTGCATCAGAAACAGTGCCTCTGAGTTACTCTGATGATTAATACCTCACTGTGCAAACAATTCTACATGGAACAACTATCAAAAGACAAATTATATGAGTCAGTAGGGCCAGAAAAAAATAATGAGAAATTATCTCATTAGTATCTATATAAACTGATTACTGCATTTGCTAAAGATACCATGACAAGTTCACTTCCTTTCGCCTCATCTCTTCCTGTCCCCTCCTCTCTCTCTCATTGTAGGCTTTCTCTGCTTACTACTTTGTGATGAACTTTCTCAATCTGACTGATACATCCATCCCTCTGGACACTGTCAGGAAAAAGCTGACAAGCTACTGCTCGACCCCTTGGGATCAGGTTGGGGAATATTTACGCATCAGTTACACACAGAATAAAACGTTCTGCCATGTTTATCTATGTCCAGCTTATAGTAAACACTGATCATATCACTGCATTTGAAATGAACTTGAACAGATAAAGCAGCAGCATCCAGGCGTAAAAGTAAAGTACCTGGCTGAGTACTGTTTCTCTGGCACATACATCCTCACCCTGCTGACCGAAGGATACAACTTCACCTCAGAGAGCTACCCAAATATAAAATTCATCAAGAAGGTCAGTAGATCAGAGTCCACCCTTTTCCTATCTCATGCACCCCATGTGTATGTTGGCAAGTGAGTGTGAGTGTGAGTGTGTGTGTGTGTGTGTGTGTGTGTGTGTGTGTGTGTGTGTGTGTGTACGGACATTGTGGAAAAGCGAGTGATTTTAACTGATCCTCAGTTAAAGGCAGTTAAAGGGCTTTTTCGAGACTTAAAGGGGTTTTAGGATGCAGGTTGCCAGGTTGGTATGCAAGGTCGTCGGTCTCAGCATTATCCTTTAGCCAAATATCTCTCTTCTTCGAGATGAAGTTTATATCCCGCATTGAATATATATTAATAGCATTAACAGTATTCTGATTCATAGTTAATATTTTATGCTGAATCCTGTTGCGATTTGCCTTGAATGGTAGCAAAGCCCTTCTCATCCGAGGTGTAAGTATACAGAGTCAAATTGACTAAATCCACTTATTAATCATATATTGGGGGTTTTCTACCAGCCATCATCACTGTGATGAAGAAAAACATCAAATCCTCAGTTTTGAAGCTAGAAACAGCAAATATGTGAGATTTTTGCTATAAAAGTAATTTGAACAATTAAATACCTGCCGATGAAGTTGTGAATCAGCCTATAACATAGCCAGTACGGTAAACAACGTCCCCAAAAAGGCCAACACCATCAGGAATAGCTATCACCAAACACCACTGCAGCAATATAAGAGGAGTAACTTTTACTACTTGGCCTAAGCCATAGACTGCATATAAAAATGTCAAAGAATAATGTCTATGCCAAACTACAACAACACAACAGGCATTTATCTCTTCTGCTACAATAAATTATTTATCGCCAGCAATGCAAATACACGTGATTTAGCAGCACCAATGAGCATGCGCAATGAGCAATAGAACCAGATAATTCAAAGCTAAATGCTAAGCTACATGTTGGTCAAGCCAAATAACAACGGCAGTACAGCTTCATTGCCATTGCCGAGGAAAATAACATCACCATCAACGAATGAAAGTACAAGTAGCACACGGGCAGGTACTTTACCTCGGGTTAATGGCGAGTGGAAATCAGGTGAGTGAGTGGGTCCTCAACAAGAGCGGTGGTTTTCGACTCGGCTCTCTTCTGTCCTGGAAGCTGAAGCAGCCGACCACAGCGTCTCTGAATACAGGACAGCAAAAAAGTAAAGTACAGAAAATTAAGGCGCACTAAAAGGAGACTGAATTAAGTTATAATTACGGTAGAAAGCTGCATTGGCACCTTTTTATTGACAGAGAATCCTCCAGAGTAGTGAGAAATGTCGTAAAAGCCGCGTCGTGCACCTGCATGAATATGATTAGCCCTTACTAGTCAGGTGGTAGCGTCCTTCTTCTGCTTCTTCTTCTTCCTCCTTGAAGTTTATTGGCGGTTGGTAAACAACGAATTGGTACATTACTGCCACCAAGTCGACTGGAGTGTGGATCAGGTTTTCTAATAGCCTACTCATATTCCAAAATTAAATACAGAAATTTAAATAAATAAATAAACTCATATCCTAAACTCAATCAGTTTTGTTATTTTAAGATCAGCTGACAATCAGCTTGTGATGGCGACTTTATGGATGACCAGAAGTGTCATTGAATTGTTATTTAAAAAATTAATTCAGCTCTCTCCTGAACTATAGTGGAGGTATGAACACCATTTTATCAAAATACTGTATGTTCCGTCATTTGGTGTTTTAATGTTTGGTTGGTCCAAGAACCTCCCATAGATTTTCAGATGTGTTGAGATCTGGTCACTCAGCATATGCTCACAGCATATGATTCATTTAATTTCAAAGCGTGTGGAAGCATGCGTGTTCTTTCTGTTTCCCCACTATTTTATTCATTTTTCCTTTAGTTTTATCATCTGTCTGTCTTCAAGTACAGTATGAACACTTCTTAAGTGTACAGGCCTGTAGTGCATCAGTGAATGACAATGATAGTTTTCCCGCTTCTCGTGTTGTGTCCAGATTAAAGGCAGTGACGCAGGCTGGACGCTGGGCTACATGTTGAATCTGACCAACATGATTCCAGCTGAGGCTCCCGACTCTCCCCCTCTGCCCCACGCCGGCTACGTCTCCATCGTCACCGTCATGGCAATACTGCTCTTCGTCCTCTTCATCCTCAGCCTGCGCCCTCTCTGGCCCCGTTGCTCCAAGCAGCCACAGATCATATAAACACACACACACACACACACATACATATACTGTATGTAATGAACGATAGTGATGAAGGGAATATGTGTAAGGGTTTGTGAGTGTGAATAAGACTTTACACCTTCAAGCCGTTGTGAGGATGTCAAAGGTCAACGTCTGCTGCATAACAACAGTCCTGAAGCTCATATGGACTCAAGGACATTTCAGAAGGACAAATGCTTTCTCTTGCTGGGGAGTGAGTTCTTTCTTCCCTGGTTGAAGGACATTTGCTGTCTTTGTGTGTGAATGTGTATGTTTGAGGTTGAGTGTGTGCATTTGAATGCGTGCTTGAATGTGTGTGTACCCACATCAGTCTGCATGTATATGTCTTGAAATTACAATGTGGATATGACACTGTACAAATAAAATAACCGAAGTTTATATAAAAATGTTTGATTTGCTTGTCATTTGAACATCTAAAAAGACAATCAATTATATAATGTTTCATTTTGCACAATTTATTTACACGTTATGCGTAAAGATGATTGGATTCTTATAAAAATTACCATGACAAAGTTCTGCTCTTGTCTCAAACCCATAAACCAGCAAAATGACAATGAAAACAGCAGTAAAATGATCTTTAGAGGACAGGTCACATCCCTCTTTTTTTCAACCAGTTTTAAGCTGTTTTGTAAGTGAAAAAAATTACTTAAAGCATCCACCTCCATATATGGTACATTCAGTTTAGCATTTCCAGTAACAGGCATCGCTTTGACAAAATATATGGATGTTTAAAAACTCTTTGTTCTACACCATGTTTTCTCCCCCAACACTGACTTATTCTTGAACCTTAATTATAATTTTATGTAACACTCCGGTAAGCAGCATGAGAGATAAATTCCCAGTAACATATAAATATATCTTTTGCATATAAAATGAAAGTGCTGCCCTCTAGTGGTAAAAGCACACATACCGCAGTATAATTACCACAATGAACTAAGTATGTAAACATGACATCAGGAGCTGAAGGCCAATCATCACCTGTGAGAAACCAGGAGGAAAAAATGTTCTTTCCTCCTCGTTATTTGATCTTTTGCTTGGAATTCTTTCACATAATGTAGAGTAGGCAAAGTGATGGTACAACTCATTCTCCTGGTACTGCTTTATGACTTCCAAGAAGGCAAATTTCTTATGCAAATACCACCATAGATTATATAATGTGCAAAGGGGGAGTGTGAAATCCTGTAGGGCACACTGTGCTCTGAGATCTTGGCAGGAAGTGGAAACTCACTGGGTTTTCCTCCGTCTGGGGGCCCAGCCCTTCCTCTGCGTTATAGATCTAACTCTTATCTGCAGGGAACGGATTAACAGGGGAGAACAAGAAAACAACGCCATCCTGATTATCTGTGGGTGTTTCCCACTTTTACAACACATATGTGTGTTGATGTTGGCAACAGCAGAAAGTACTTACTTTTTAAGTAATTGAGTGACTCTTGAAGCTTGAGCTTCGATGTAGACATGGTCAGACTGCCTATATACTCTTATATACATATTTTGATAGAGGCCAGTGCCAGTATGTCATGAGCAGCCACATAGAGGGCAAAAGTTCATAGACCAGTCCCTTAAAAACAATGTCTGGCAGACAATCTGTCATCTCAGCTTTCTGTTAGCAGCTGATCCTGATGCTGGGGTATAAGGCGGTGACTTGCTGTCTTGCCGTAGGGACGCAGCCTGCTCTGACACAGAGGGGATGACTGGTACGCCATCCGAGAGGTCAGTCAGCTGGTCACTCATGTGTTCCCGGTCAATGATGTTGGTGGTCTCTGAGTCCAGCTCCCGAACGTTTTCTTGGTAGAACCTCTGTCTGAGGCGTCTCATCTGGGGAAGCTCGCAGCACGTCTCAAGCACCACTAGGACACACACCAATCCCAGCAGCAAGTAGACTGAGAATGCAAACACACACAATGGTAGCATGAAGGAACAAAGTCCAATACATTGTGACTAATAAGATCATACCAAGGTTTGGTCTATAAATAATGGGTGTAGTAGCTAACAGTCAAGGCTTTGTTGAACCTTGTCAATCAGATTAAACGGCATGGTAAATGGTGAAAAACAGACTGAACTTGTAATATGAATGAAAAAGTGTACTGTAATTTTTTTAAATGATTTTTATGTTTAAATCTCAATTAAAGGATCACGTGGTTCCCAGTATGGGGTTAAGAAAACCAATATTTCAGAGCTATGTTTTTGTTTTTTGTTTTTTCTTAACCTGGCCTAACCTCAAGTTTTGCTATATTTTGGGGTCATTTCAATTTATAGCCAAGCTAGAAGCATATTTCCGGGATGTTGGGGGATCGGTCCACCACTTCGGCCCTGACTGAAATAGCTCAACAACTGTTGGATGCATTGCCAGGAAATTTTGTGCAGACATTCATGGCCACTAGAGGATAATTTCTGATGATTTTTCCTCCAGCGCCATCATCAGGTCAAAATTGCAATTAATCCAATACTGCTGCTACTGGTGCTAAACTATGATGGATTACATGGTAAACAATACCTGATAAACATCCACATGTTAGCAGTCATTGTGAGCACATTAACATGTTGATGTTAGCATTTAGCTCAAAGCTCCACTGTACAGTCACACAGAGGTGCTAGCATGACTGTGGACTCTTAGACTTGTTGCTTTTCTTTGTGAAATAATGAATAATGTTCACCTCTCCAGGCATTTAAGATCATTCAGTTGAAACACGACAAACGGAAATCCCTTTTTGGTTGAACTGCTCACAACTCATAGACTTATGCTAAGTGAGACAATGAGACACAAGTGAACAATGCTTTGCTTTGAGGGGTGACAATCCAGCAAGATTGGAAACCACTGTTCTACAGAATGAGACAATTCACCAATGCTCAGTATCATGAAACCTTTTCTAATCCAGTGGGTACAATCAAAAATTCCTTTTGTCCTTCATTCAAATAAAAGGGTTCCACCTGACAGCAGTGGCAATATCTTCAGCTACCTACTCACTTGTAATGGTCAGCCTGTAGAGCTGTGAATGTGGGTTGGACTCTTTACTGTGGGTCTCTCCAGGGACATAATCCCCGAGGCCAATGGTTGTCAGAGAGATGAAACAGAAATACAGCGACTCCAGAAAGTTCCAGTCCTTCTCCAGGCTGACAAAGACCAACGCAGGGATGATGAGGAGCAGCAGGGTCATGAAGATGGTGAGGCAGGTGGCATGGATGGCGGCTAGCTTTGATCTAGACATGGCCCATCGACGGTGGAAGTAGGACACTGGACGTTGAGTCACCAGGACCATGATCCTCTGTACCACAGCAGAGAGGAAGAAGAGGGTAACGGGAATGCCGAAGAGGGAGTAAAAGATACAGAAGGCCTTCCCTTCATCTGAGAGAGGAACAGTGTGGCCATAGCCTGAAAACACAAACAAATATGCAACACAACCTTAATTATAGCGATATAATTAGAGGTGGGACTCCAGCAGGAGCCACTTAGGCTCTGTGAAGCTTCACACATAACAATAATTAGAGAGGAGGAAGGAAAAGAATGACAGAGGCTCATTCAACAGCTGCTTGTCTTCTTGGAAAGCTCTATCCAAGACTAACTATAAATAAATGAGTGAGCAGAATAAATAAGTGAATTATTCATTGAGTTTTAATGTTGAAATGTTTTTTTAAGTAACCCTCTTTATAAATTACATGTATGTATGTTAACACTACAGGGGGCTGGAGGGCTGGAGGGCTGGTGGGTTCTCTGTGGATTAGCAGAACTAACAAATAAACAACCACATGTGTTAATGGAGATTCAGGGTTGTGAATTCTCATTAAAACCCCTAATAATTCCCCAGCAACATTTCCAAACCTTTTTCTATTTACTGAGTAAGAGGCGGTGGTGCAACAGCTAAAGCCTGACAAGATATTCCTGTGACGACTTCTAAATAAATGTATTCTCAACGACTGCTTTTCATGATGGAAAATACATGCACAGTAACACAATACTACCACTTTCTAATATGTCACTGTATACAGGGTTTGTAAGTTGTAACTAATGACTTTATTAATGGTTAACAAATAATTTACTAATTCTGTATAAGGCAACTATGAGTCGTTAATAAGAAAAGGTTTTGGGTTTTCATCCTCCATCTGTACACTTGTCATTTTAGCTCTTTAAAGGATACTTTAAGGGATACTTCATTACTGGAAACTGGTTTTTCTTGCTAACGACAGTGATAAGGGACAAAATCCACAGTCCTTGTTTCAATGCAAAAATGTGTTTATCAGAAGCTAATATGGTGCTTCAGCAGCCTGTTAGACAAATTAAGGAAGTATCTTCCAAAGTTGCAAACGTTTTAGTACAAAGTTCCCTCTTGTTGTTTGTTTTTTCACTGCAGCTCAACAGGAGAACACTGTTTACGGAAATGAAAAGAGGGAATTTCACAGCCTATTGAAAAGACAGGCATCCACTTGATTTGACTGACTCAGCCTCATATTAGATAAAGTTTCAGTTAAACTTCTGACAGCATTTTTGCACAAAAGGAGGACTGTGCATTTTGTCCCTCATCGCTTCCATCCAAAACACCCGAGGCAGGGATCTTTTAATGGTCAGTATGAGCAGGAGGAATTATTACAGTAAGCAAAAACTGCTACAATGTTCATATGGGCACCTGACTATTGTTTTTATGCAGGCTTAAAAACTGTCTTTTAATTCACTGAGAAGACCCTTCAATGGACCATATATAATGGCAGATGGTTTACTAGACACTGAGAATCCCAGAAGTATCTATTCATGGATTAACAACATTCATAACTTCATTATTAGTAAATATATAAGGATAAAGAGCAGCCAGGTATATATCACAACCTAACCCAACCCACAAATTGTTCTAATTAATGACTTATGGGTAACTGATCTATTAAGTATTAGTAAATGATGTATTAAATCCATCAACTCAGAAATGTCTTTTACTTATTGTTACTTCACTTGAATGTTTGACCTTCACATCCATCTGCTGAAGAGGAAAGTGCTCAACTTATATTCAAGTTTAGGACAGTATATGGATATAGATGCACATATGACTAGTTTAGAGATAGTAGTGATCCAATATGCAAATTACAGCACTCCAGTGCACATACAGGTGAACTTTTCAGTGAAGCAGGAGACATATTTTGTCCCGTAGTTAAACTTTTCAAATGAAAAATGCATTTCATATATCCTTCATGACAGTTTCAGTGTTTTAACACCTGCGTCCCGGGCCTCACCTGTCGTGGTCAGCACGGTGCTGGTGAAGAACAAGGAGGACACGAAGTCCCAGTTGCGGTCGGTGTCGTTACCCAGCACCGACACGCCATAGTTGCTGGCCTCTAGCGCGCGAGCCAGGAGCTCCTCTAGGCGCGCGTCGGACACACAGGTGTTGTTGTTGAGGAAGTCCTGCCGGGCCGCCTTCAGCTCCTGCCGGAGGTCGTGCTCGTAGGGCAGCTCGATGGCGGAGAAGATCCCGGCGCCGATGATGAGGTAAAGGATGTAACCGACAACCAACAGGGCGAAATTCAGCGCTGAATAGTGTCGCTCCATGAACCGGGCGCACCAGCCGTCAGTACAGCTGCGCACCATCCCTCCTGTTTCCACAGATGAAACACACCTGGTTTCCCAATTAATTACACTCTACCACCTTCTACTAACTTCAGAGAAGCCCTTGTTTTAGGTCACGACTTCTATCCTCTATACCCGGTGGAGGGACTGCTCTTCCTCATTCTTCACATCTCATTGGAACCGGGTAGTGACGTCGGTCATTCACCGCGCCAGGTAGAGAGAGAGAGACCGAGAGAGAGAGAGAGAGAGAGAGAGAGTGTGTGTGTGTGTGTGTGTGTGTGTGTGTGTGTGTGTGTGTGCGCGCGCGCGCGCGCGCGCGTCTGTGTGTGTGTGTGTGCGCGCGCGTTGTGCCTTGCTTCACTTCCCACTCCAACCGGTTGAACAGGTTTTGTGTTTTGAATCATTACAAAGGATTTATTTTCCACGAGACACAAGGTCAGGTTTATTTGGAGACACAGATTTATTACTGTAAAAACTTTGAAATAATAATGTCAAGAAAAAAGACTGTAAATGATTTAAAGATAGGCTACAGAAAAATAAAACCACTTAAAACAAAAAGTAAAAAACATGGCTTTAATTGTTTCTAAGGAATGTTGGCTACATATTTCTCTCTATAAAGGAAATCTTTTTTGTTGTTTGTTTGTTTTTTGCAGGATGTTTAATCATTGATCTAGTATATTATGTTTGGTGATAACTAATTAAATTCTTATTAACCTTGGCTAGTGGTAAAAGTAACTAACTATATTTACTCAAGTAGGCTACTGCACTTGTGTATTTGAGGTAGGCTGCTTTGACTTTACTTGAATGTTATAAAATATGTTGCTATGGTATAGATTAAATATCCCATCCTGATTAATCTGCTGTCGCACAGGGAAAATATTTTGTGATAAATGGATTTTGCAGTCGTGCAGTAAAATCTTGTGACCGCGAGTCCAATGATCCAGGTCATGTTAATGTTGGACATCAACATAAACAGTTTATAGCTCTCTGCAGTGTGATTAATCATACTTAAAACATTGTTAAATCTCTCCACCGTCATACAGGACCTTCTTACCACATTTGTATGTTTCCTAACATCCTATGAAATAGTTCAAATGAGCCCCACCTTGACCAACTACTGACAGTTATTCTGTATAATGAGATAGTATGTTTATTGAATAATATTTTGAATGCAGGGTTTAATTGTTATTGAGTATTTTTATTTTTTTTATTCCTATATAAATAAATTATTTGAAGACTTCTTCCACCACTGGCTTTAGCAACCTCAAATAACCTTTGTCTGCTAAATCATTTGTAAATATCACTTGTACCACTTGAAGGCGCTGGAGACCACGTTTCCACAGGCGTATGTGAACTGCACTGGCGTCATCAGAAGAGAAACAAAAAAAAGAAACAATTGGGGAAAAAAAGTCTTTTATTGATAAGTTACCACCAGAAATCTTCTCCACTGACTCCATCGTCTGTTCATCCTAATATCTCTTCCTTTTATATTTGGTAGCTGGCAATAAATAATTATTTACAACCAATAGGAAAGCCCAAATGAAAAGCAATAAAAAGTTACTGTCAGATGCTGTCAGAGTCCCGCAGTAACATACAGCGAATGAGATCAATACTGTTGCACGAAAAGCTGATAGATAGATGATGGTCAGTAATTGATAGTCTTGGCTGGATAAATGCCTGGATCTGGTGCATCCTCTCTCCCTCTCAATTGTATTAAGATCTTCCGGAATGAATGTGCATCCCTGGTGGGTTGATGTAGAGCTTCCTGAATGTGCCGGCAAATTTCAGTTATCTGTGGAAAAAAAATCAAGAAAAACAGATTACAGATATGGTCATCAGAGAGACACGTGTCATAAGAGGAATGGATTTGTAAATGCTGAAGATATACTTGTTCTTTACTTGTGAATTTCCATTTTATGCTATTTTATATTTCTACCCCATTACAGTTCAGAGGTACATATTATACTAGTTACTTTCCAGATTAACATTTTAAATAAAAAAGAAACATAACATGACATAAAAACATAAATTGAGCTTATAAAATACAGCTTTATTGGCTTTGGCTTCTCTTGGTTGCATCAGAATTAACAATCTAATATCTAATAATACATCAGTCACAGGTCAATGTGCATAATAAATACTTTTATTATGCATCATGCATAGGTATTGGATTGCAAATGGTGTAAATGCTTTTGCAAAGAACGATGAAGAGGATTTAAGTAAAGGATCTAAGTGTTGCCTCCACCTATGCTTGGTAGCCAGGACAAAAGTTTTGACAGGATGTCTCACCTCTGCACTCATATCTGAGGTCTGAGAAGAGGACGTGTTCCTGAGAGAAGACAAACAGTCCCAGTCTGCCTCCAGCCAGGGTGTGGTCATACACCGCCCCTGAGTCGGACAAAATATCCCTGCCCTCATACACCACCACCCTGCGAAAAGGAACACAGCAATACAATACTAATCAATGGAAGCCATTAATATTTGTCTATAGATACACTCCAGCTATAACTTCATTCATTCATTCAAATGCTGTACCTCCAGTCTGAGGTATTCCACTCCACTACATTTACCCAACAACAACAGAAAACAGCTGAATCACTGTCACCTGAGGCAGCTGCAACATTAAAATGCATTGTGGGTATCTGTGTTGTTGTTTGCCAGAAATACTTATTTTTACTGAAGTAACATTTTGAATGGACTTTTACTCCTTATGTATATTATACAAAGTGGTATTGCTACTTTTGCTCAAAAAAAGGTATCTGAGTCCTTCTTTCATCACTAATGGCAATGAGCACTGCAATTCTGTGTGCGTTCTTTCCAGTTCCCATTCTTAACGCGTATTCCAGGGGATGATATTGAGGACATGACGTCAAATGGGGAGATATTTAAAGCAGTTACAATGGAACTTTGTAACAGCCATAAAAAAAATCAAAAAAATCAATGTGTGTCCGTCCTTCACAATCAAAGAGCAGGGGCTTCTTTTCAGGCTCACATTCAATAAGTGTGCAGCTGTACAGTCATCCTACAGTACAATCGTTCTGTACCCACAGTGCAGCATAGCCAATGCTTCAAAGATAGCCTTCTATAAGACTATTTAAACAACTGAGCTATGCTCATAACAGCCTTGTTCTCATTCACCTCTCTTTTTCTCAGCTTGAAAACATCGCTTTAGTACTGATGTGATTCTCTCCATCTGCACATAAACACAAAAGCACAAGCACAAAGCACAGAAAACTCATTGCCTGGAGGTTTTTTTTTTTTCTTTTTTTTTTTGAAAGTCCATTAGTGAGAAGTACTAAGTAGAAGTAGATGTGGCAGGTTGAGGAGAACTGGGTACAACAAAGAAAGTGAATTACACTGTTATCATAAAATAACTCGTGGAGATTGATGATATCCTCGAGTGTAAGAACATCTGAGAGTGAATTATTCCTTCAAGGGCGACTCTGAATGTGATTTCCACAGATTTAAGAAGTTATTCAGCAGATTGTTGTTCCACTAAAACCTACATGAACTGAGCTGATACTGACTGAGCCCAGAATGTGCGATTTAAAGGAACATACCAGTGTTTTGTTCATATTTTTGCCCATTTTGCAAAAATTGAAATCTGTTTTACAGGGATGCTAGTGGTTTTTAGGTGTGCTTTAGTGTTTGAGAGTTTTGAATTTTCAGCTATTTGTTTTCATTCACTTCATTAGATTATGAAAATCCACTCGCAGACACTTGCAGTGGTCGGTCCGCACAAAACAGCTTGCCTGTTTGTATTGTTATTGAAGTAATATAATTTCACGTTAGTGGTTGCAAAGACAGATTCATCTGACTATGTTTTTTTCACAAAAATAGATACATATATGATTCTCACTCATCTCAAGTAAATCTTAAATTCCTACAAGATGATTTTAATAGAACACAGAAATGGATGGGAAATAGTGTCTGCTTGAGTTAGGTGGAAACACACATTTAAAATGAAAACAATACACCATACTTTGAAAAAACTATGTATTTGTCACATGTAGTAAATGGGCTAAAACACTGGCATGGTCCTTTAAAGGCCAAGCCAATAATATCAAATGCTTTAACTGTAAATTGAAAGTTAAAAGGTTACTGCTAATGTGGAGGTATTTCCACTAGGAAAGATCTGTTGGTCCCTGGAGGAAGCCCACAAAAGTTCAACAGCTCAAATGTTGGTTGAATTCCACGATCGTAATCCAGCTGTGGTTTATGACAAGCTCAGGCTCCAAAGAGGAAAACTAGTCGAGCAACGAACCCTTCATACATGTACAGATTCACATATCAGCTGACTTGTTTATGACCATCCTTGTAGAAATAACCGTGACAATATTTAAGAGAGCAATATCTCCAGATAAAAGAGAGAAAACACAGATGGAAAGAGCAATTTCCTCACATAAACTGGATATTCTGGATTCAGTCTCATTCAGGACTCTTGCTGATCATCCAGTGATAAAAATGACACCTTATATGATGAAGCTATTTTGTGTGATGACTGTGTTTGTACCTGATAAACCCAGTTTTGGGTCTGTGGATAAGGTGCATGCGGTAGGCGGTGAAGTCCTTCCAGCCAATTTTATTGGGGTCATGCCACAAAGTTCTGACCTGAAATAGACACATGAAAAAGTCAGTAGGGACAAGAATATTATACTTTAGTATCTGATGTATACTGTATCAGTCTAAAACAGAAGAGTCTGTCCAAGGTCATTCTTAGAGAAGGTTTGTCTGTTCAAAAAAGAACTTTAGTGTTTTATGACAAGCAGAATATACTGTGAAAAGACTGATTCGTGCCTGGTGTCTGGTATTTCCGGTGTGCCAGAGGGCGTTTCGTAGATACTCCCCTGGTCCTGTGGTGGAGTTGACCAGTTTGATGGAGACTCCTGCTGTGCCAAAAGCTTTGGATGGCCTTTTCTCCCAGTAAGCCTGAGACACCTGAGAGAAAGAACATGGAGGATGAAAGAGTGTGAAGGTTGAGTTGACGTATGTGAGGACTGTCGCTGTGCGCAAAAAGATGAGCTTGAAAAGTCAGGTCTCTCCTTTTCTGTTATGCACTTTTCCATTTCTGCGAGTGAGAACTCTAATGTACAAACTGTAAGAAATGCAAAGGAGAGTACGGTCAAGGAGATATTTGAAGCTGAGATACCTTTTGATTCCAACCCCAAATTAAAGGTTTTAAAGGGCCATTTCAAATGAAATGTCTGCTACCACTGAATTGAAGCCAATAGTAGTAATCATCAGTGTTAAAGTCTCACCTGTTTCCACATGACAACATAGAAGCGCTGGGTGGACTGGTAGGCGAACACAATTCCCGCGTAGTCGTCATCTCGGTTGGTGTTCACGTAAAAGGTCACACTGAAGTCTACGGCACTGAACTTGTCGTATCCTGTTCAAACCGAGGGGACATTTGTTTGTTTTTTTTTTAGACTCCAACAACAATTTTCTCTATACTTGGAATGGGGTTTTGATTTTTCTGGAGTCATGACCCATCTGACCTAAAGCGATGCCGGGGTCCGAGTTGGCCGTCTGCAGCAGCTCTCTGCCCTGGCTGCGGATCACCCAGAGGGGGTCAGACTGTGTTGTGCCTTTAGGGTCCAGCAAAACAACCTGAAACTTCCTGAAGTCTGTAGACCCAATATCCTGGTTCAGTGGACAGGGATCTAGTGCATCTGGAATACTGTCGTTGTCAAAGTCATCAAAACATGCTTCCCCACTGCCATCACCTGCGAGAGAGGTATAGAGACATTGAGTGTAACGATGCGACTTTCTATGATTTTCTGCCAAGAAGGGAACAAAAAGGACTGGATCGGAAACATACAAATGTGGTAAGAAGGTCCTGTATGATGGTGGATAGATTTAACAATGTTTTAAGTATGATTAATCACACTGCAGAGAGCTATAAACTGTTTATGTTGATGTCCAACATTAACATGACCTGGATCATTGGACTCGCGGTCACAAGATTTTACTGCACGACTGCAAAATCCATTTATCACAAAATATTTTCCCTGTGCGACAGCAAATTAATCAGCGTTTGTTCACATCTGTATGATGATATCAGAGATGTTCTCACATCTGCTGAGGGAGTGTCCGCAGATTAGGCTTGTTTTGGATTTGAAGACCTACTGTGCCACTGCAACAGCACTGACCGTCAGAGTCCAGCTGGTCCCTGTTGGGCACCAGTCTGCAGTTGTCCCGGTCGTCAGGGATACCGTCATTGTCATCGTCGTGGTCACAGGCGTCCCCCCTCCCGTCGTTATCATGGTCGGCCTGGTTGCTATTGGGGATGTAGGGACAGTTGTCTAGAGAGTTTTGGTGGCCGTCCTCATCGATGTCGTCATTGTCGTCGCACATGTCCCCGACCAGGTCACTGTCAGAGTCAAGCTGCAAACACACACACGCATGCAATATACTGTATATGTTTAAATAGAGTTAAATCACAAGACTCCATGATTAGTTTTCCATTAGCCACTCCCCGCATAGACTTCCAAGATTAACTGCCACTAATAAATTGTTAGGACAGTTTTGTTGGATCCCGCTGGTTAAATGTGGATCCCAGACCAGATGTTCTGTGAGGCAACACAACCACACTAACTGTAGTTTTGTCAGTACATAGGTCAATATATGTGATCTTTTGAGCATTGTGTGTTTTTATTTGTGTGTGTTTTCAGGAACCTGCAGTGGGTTGTGTAGAAGGGGACAGTTGTCACACTGGTCTCCGACGCCATCCATGTCTGTGTCCCTCTGGTCAGTGTTGTAGACTAAGGGACAGTTGTCACGGTCATTCAGAACCTCTGGAGAAAGAGGGACACACACACACACACACACACACACGCACAGACAGACAGACACACACACACACACACACGCACAGAGACATCGGATATAATGCGTTTCTTGTGGCTTTTACTCTTTTGATACATAAAAACAAGACCCAGCAACCAATCAATACTGTGTTTGGGGAAATGTAATTAAATCCATATTACATCCACTTTTTCTCAGTAAATTATGGTAGCATTTTATAATACAGCTCACAATTTACATTATTGGCGAGGTTTGTTGTATGAAACAGGTGCCAATACAACGCTGACCGGTTCCAAGTGATCCTTAAATGTAGATACAATAGAAGAAAACAAGACTACGGGGAACAAGGGAGTAACAAATGGGCATTTCAGAGGAAAGGAGAAATAAATTACACCATAAATCCTTTTGTAAATACGGGGCAGCTAATGGGTACAGTACTTGGTAAGAGTGTTTAAATTTGGGGAAAATCCTGTTTACAACCGTGTTCTTATTGTGCAATTAAAGGAGAGGGAGGAGAGAACAAAGCATTGGTTAAGTATCTATAAGTAAGTAGCTCCTACCATCTCCATCCATGTCAATGCTACAGGCGTCTCCCTCTCCGTTGTCATCAGTGTCTGTCTGCAGTGGGTTGCTCTCAAACGGACAGTTGTCACATCGGTCCCCGACCCCGTCTCTGTCCGAGTCATACTGCCGGGGGTTGTACACCAGAGGGCAATTGTCCTACACCAAACAGCCCCATTCAGACACACATATACATACACACACACAAACAGAGGATGTGAATATACACCTGTTTGTCAGACACGGTATTCTCAAAGTTACTCTCGATCACAATCCCACCCTCTCATCTATGATGTCATCATTGTCGTCATCAGGATCGCAGGCGTCTCCCAGTCCGTCCCTGTCCAGGTCTTCCTGTCCAGAGTTTGGTATCGTGGGGCAATTATCCTGCAGCCAATCACAGCTCACTTTAGTGGAACCACATCCAACCAGAACACAGCTCCAGATAATCAGATTAAAATTCTTTACTTCAGTTTCAGTGTTGTCATTTTTTTAACCTTTTGACAGTGATAGGTCGCATTTTGCTTGCAGGTCAATTTGTAGTTGGGCCAGCCATCTAGATCTGAGTCGTCACCACACAAAAAGCCATCACCCGCAAACCCAACAGCACACACACACTTGAACAAGACCTCAGATGCTAGGCCCAGGTATATACATTCAGCATACTTGTGGCAGGTGTGTGTGTTGTCTTTGCAAGGATTGTATGGTTCGCACACCTGCAACAAAAGCAAAGCATTTGAGAATACAAAAGAGGCTCATGATGAAAGTAGTTGGTACAAAAAAAGACGTGTAAGGCTGAAAGAGTAAAACACATGCCTGCTTGGTTTCCTGGGCTGCCTGCAGTCCAAGGCCATATGGCTGTGTGCCTTTGTAGCGAGGAGGACAGGGCAGACAGTAGTACCCAGGGTCTGTGTTTACACACTCTGTAAAACACACACCCTCCACTTCACACTGAAGAGAGAGGGATTAACCGTGTTCAGCATATCAAACATGAACTTTTTGTACAACTGTGTTATGTCTTGCCAGGATCTGACGACAGAATATTTATGTTTTTTGACATGGTCACTGTGTCAGATCAGCTGATCAGGGACTTGAGTTATAGACGAGAGGTTAAACTCTGACCAATCATATATCATTTGGGTCTTTCATAATTTGCATGAAGTGCAAAGGTGATCAGGCAGGACCAAAGACATTATGATTCATCCTCTTGGGGCCATGAATAGCACTATAAACTTTCATGACAATCTATCCAATAGTTGTTGGGACATTTTGCTAAAAACCAGAGACATCAACTGCATGGTGGCATTACAGGAAAATTCAGGGATCTTCAAAGTCTCTAGGGCTCATCCTCTGGGCACCATGAATGTCCGTAAAAAAGATTGATGATAATCCATCCAATAGCTGTGGACATATTTCAGTCTCAAACACTGGGGTTGACTGCCTGCCCTATCGACAGACTGACTTTGACATCCCCAGAAAAATTCTGACAAGCTAGTTTTTATGTCAGAGCCTCTCAAGGCGTTGAACTTGTTGACTTCCATTATAAAATGCAATATGAGACAAAATTCAGGAAATTTTTGTTTCTAAAGTCCCACATCTGTAGTCTGATCCTGTGCCTGCCCTCATGATAGACTGTCACTTCACAGTTTTAACTAGCATAAGATATGTAGTTATTACCTCATTCTCGTCGTCACAGTGAGTGCCATTGCCATGTAAACCCAACGGACAGCGTCCACATTCCCATGATCCATCACTATATGATGTGCACTGCACCCCAGGAAAACATGGAAATGACAGCAAACACGTGTCTGAAAACAGAGAGTCACAAAGCAAATAATCCAAGATTGGGTCAATGGAAATTCATATTTGAATCATTCACTCTGTCCTAAGCCTCAATAATTGAATAAAGGGAGAATAAACACTGTAGGATATTGTTTTTAATCCTCTATTGTTTGAAAATATGTTTCCTCCAACAAAAAAAGGATTAGGTTTGTCCATGGATGTGAAGCTTAGCCTACTTATAGAACAATATCTGCTTACACAATTAAGATATACCTTTTCCCTGAGGTTTGTGGACATGGTTAAGTTTACCTATGGGACATGGTTGTTTGTTACAAACTTCATAGTCTACGGCGTCTCCAGCACAACGCTTCCCACCATTCTGGGGGACAGGGTTTATGCACTCTCTCTGGCGACTTAAAAGGCCTCCTCCACAAGACTCTGAGCACAGTGACCATTCATTCCAGGTCGTCCAGCCTCCAGCAACTACAGACAAACATACAGTGTTATTTACCTGTAAGGCAGCAAAGTACTACAGTACAGTTTATGTGTGCATATATACTGCCATACTCACTGGGGCAGAGTGTGTTGTTACAAGCTTGTGTCTCCCTGGCGCTGCCCGAGCACCCCTTGCCACCCTTATGTGGTGGAGGGTTGTTGCACAGACGTACTCGTGTGATGTGTCCCTCTCCACATGTGGTTGTACACGCAGACCAAGGAGACCAAAGGCCCCAGTTCCCATCTGCACGCGCTACACATAAAACATGCACATAAATAAAAGTACATAAAAACAATGTTTTTTGTGTGTAGGAATGTGTTTGAGTAGAATTCAACACAGACCATCACCACAGCTCCACACTGTGTGCACATTTATAGAACCAAAACAACATGTTTCCAATTATGACGGCAATGTCCAAAATCCTTTCGCCTGAAGTTCCATATGTTTGCTCTTTGAGGAATATTCTCTTATTTCCTTTGGATAGGTTCGTGTTCAATCAATCACAGAAAATAAATGAATTCAAGACATGTGATGGATCAGATGTGCAGAGTGATGTCCTACCCTTGCGCTCACACTTCATCAACATGCAGCTGCGGGTTTGAAGTGACGGGCCAGCACAGGCCGGCATGATGCCGTTGCATGATCGGCCCCTTTGCTGCCCTCCTCGTCCACAGGTGACGGAACAGTGGGTCCACTCAGACCATGGGGACCAGCCATCTCCGTTATCTTTGTGCACAAAGACACACATACACACACACACACAAACACTGTTGGTATACTTCTATCACATTGTGGGATCTGAGCATGTTTTCAACAGTATATCATAGGTGACAGCAAATCAGACTTACTGAGACAGACAGGGCAGCACTTTCCATCAATGAAGGATGGATTGAGGCAGGACACAGGGGGGCAAGACACCTGCTGACACACCACCTTTCCATCCTTAACAAGGTAATGGAGAGACATACCAGTGTTCATATTGTAAGGATATTATTAGTCATACCGTGTTATTTGAGCCAGATGCTTCTGCTAGATGCCAGTCCTTGCAGAGGAACGGTATGCTGTCATGACTCAAAACTAATGATATTTTATAAGGAGAAACAGACTCGGAGAGGTCGATGAAGCAAGCATAAAATATAGATAGATGCTAACAAAGGCAGCTCTGGAAATAAATGAAACCACATTGGATACAAAGTCAAACTTCCCCAACTGGTAAATACATTTCAAAGTATTAGTTTGACATTTGGGGGAAATATGTTTATTCGCTTTCTTGTCGAGAGTTAGAAAAGATTGATCCCGCTCTCGTGTCTCTGTCAAATGTGAAGCTACAGCCAAGAGACCGTTAGCTTAGCATAAAAACTAGAAGCGGGGGAAAACAGCTAGCCCGGCTCTGTCCAAGGGAAGTCACTGCTCTCGGCCAAGAAATTGTTTGGCTCTTAACGTCCCATAAAACCACAAGTTGCCTTTCAAGGTTTTTGTATGGATGAAAACAAACAAGATATAAAAAGAGCTTTAGCTTTAGCTTTTTTTTGGACAATCTAGCAGTCTCTCCATGATTTTAGCCTTTATGTTAAGTTAAGCTAGCCATCTCTTAACCACTTCTAAGTCTCATGCACATTAAAGACGGTGTGCCAGACTATTTCTTGGCTGGTGGCAGTGAATTCCTGGATTTGGTGGATTGTTTTTACTTAAGAACTAAAGCCAGGCCAGCTGTTTCCTGCTGTTTCCAGGCTTTATGCTACGAATTACACTCAAACGCCTGACTTAGAGATACCACTAAAAAGTTCAAAACAGGTCACCTTTATTAACAGGTAGGTAAGGCTGGAAGACTATGGATGGGATGGAACAAGAGACACTCTGGCAGAGTGTAGGTGGAAGTGGACTGGTATATACATGTATACTGAGAAGTAAATGGGGAATGAAGATGGGGAAAGGCTGGGGTTACTGCAGGGCATGTGTGAGTGGCAGGATCTGAAATGACAAGTGAGTTAGTGATTCTTGGCAAAGGCAGGCAGAGAATGAATGAATAACTGAATGAACTGTGACACTGAGATTCATATTCAACAGGCAGATATATGACTGGCACCAGTCTTCTCATCTAACTCTCGGCAAAAAAGCAAATATGCGCATTCCCCCAAATTTCTTTAATCAATTTCTTTACGGTTATTGGCTACATGAGAGACGTGGACTTGAGACTTTGAATTCTGACTCTCTTGTTGTTCCAGGATTTTACCAGGTCAAAACTTAAGACTTAAATGTTATGGTGTTCAAGTCTCAATTCAAGTATTTAATCAAGTCTTTAGAAAATCAAATATTAAGTTATTCAGGTCTTACACCAATCATGTCAGAGTCAAGAGACTTCATGTATATAAATGATTAAAATTAAGTGACAAAAATTAGGACTTTGACTGTTGCGAGATGTGAAATCAAAATGTAGAATTGACTTGGACTTCCCGTCAAAGCTCTCCCGTTAAAGTTAAATGATGTTAAGGCCTGCCGTCTATCTATGACAGATCTTCCGTTCAATCACGGAGCTCTCCCTGGGAACATCTCACTACTAAGTTGTAGTTAGGCTTACATGAGATTTGTTCAACACAAACCTGGCAATTACAGGAGGTGCAGCTGTCAACCTCCCAATCCTCCCCGTGCTCGTATATTCGTCCGTCCTGCACACACCAGACCTCCCCATCTCTGTCTCTGTCAAGATCATTGTAGTCAGCGCCGTCGCCGTCGCCACCGCTGCTGCCACTGCCGCCGCCGCCGCTGCTGTCGCCACCGCTGCTGCCACTGCCACTGCCGCCGCCGCCGCCGCTGCTGCTGCCGTCCACCGTCTTGCTGCCACTGCCACTGCCGCCACTGCCACTGGCGCCACCGCTGCTGCCACCGCTGCTGCCACTATCACTGCCGCCACTGCCACTGGCGCCACCGCTGCTGCCACTGCTGCCACCGCTGCCGCCACTGCTGCTGCCGCTGCCACCACTGCCACCGCTGCTGCCACTATCACTGCCGCCACTGCCACTGCCGCCACCACTGCCGCCACTGCTGCCACCGCTGCTGCCACTGCTGCCACCACCACCTCCATCACCAATACCAATACCACTCCCACTTCCACCACCTCCACTGCCATCACCTCGACCACCACTGCCACCACCACCTCGACCGCCACCACCACCACCTCCACTGCCATCACCTCGACCACCACTGCCACCACCACCTCGACCGCCACCACCACCACCTCCACCTCCACTGCCATCACCTCGACCACCACTGCCACCACCACCACCACCGATACCACCACCATTGCCACCACCTCCACTGCCACCACCTCCGCCACCACCGCCACCACCTCCGCCACCAACACCTCCACCTCCATCACCACCACCAATACCACCACCACCTCCTCCACCTCCACTGCCACCACCTCGACCATCACCACCTCCACCACCACCTCCACTACCACCACCTCGACCACCACCACCTCCACTGCCACCACCTCGACCACCACCACCACCGCCTCTGTTTCTGCTTCTGCCGATGCTGTTAATACTGCTGCTGTTGCTCAGCTCAGCCAAAGTGATCCGCATCTCTTCATTTTCTCTTGACTGAGAACACAAAAACATACATGTAGCATTTTCAAAATATTAAAATTATATTTTTTTCTATTTATATGTATAACATCAAGATTTACCCAGTATTCATACACAGGGGCCTGCTGTGTTAGGCTCGAACGATGGTGAGATGATTAGTGGCCAACATTTTAACACTGATGAAATTTTTTCTTTTTCCAAAACTACCAGGACATTTACCACAAACCACAGTGCTTCCTGCCAAAAAAAAAGGTTGTTGCTGCTTGTTCCATTTGTACTGGAAGACGGACTACTCAGTGTTGGGTTTGTCGCACAAATTTCCCACAAAACTCAACCCTGTCACATACAATGTAAAGTGCACTGAAAAGGCTGGTAGTATTCTTAAAAATTATCTCAAATAGTTTCGAATAATCATGAAAATTTACAACTTTCCACTGATGTTAAAATGTTACACCTTTAACTTTTTCATCTCGAAACACATGAAAAAACATATGTTTCAACTTTATTATGTTCTAAAATTCTCTCTTTTTCTTCTTTTAAAATCCAATTTCTTGCCCGTGCCATATCAAAATAAATACAGCTTTAACAAACATGCAGATACATGTGCATTTATTTGTGCAACTTACTACTCTCTCCAGGTCTTCAAGCAGGTTGCTGGTCACAATACGCAGGCCCTGGATCTCAGTAAGCAAAATCACCAGCTCCTCACATGGATGACGACAGACTTCTGACGACACATTGTCAACCTTTGCACCCCCCACACCTGCAGAGGAGGCACAAGTGTGTGTGTGTGTGTGTGTGGTCTGTGCTAGATTTTAAACTTGAGTCTACATTAATGATTGTAGAGCGAGAGATGGAGAAGGTGTATTTGTGCATAAATCTGAATGAAGGTAGACGGTGTGTGAGCATATGCACATGTGAGAGCAGTGTGTGGTACCTGCACACACAGCTGCTGCATAGAGGCATATAAAAAGCCAGGGGGAACCTCTCAGCGGACTCATTCCTGTTCACACATAAATCACATATGAAGTCATCATGAAATATAACAACCATACTGCTGCTACACTAGCGCGCAATACAAGCAGTGCTGCTGCCGGGGAGATAGAAGAAGAAGGAGATAAAGAGGGAATTAACCTTGCATACCTGCGTTCTCCTCGCAGCTCTGCCTTTCTTCACGATTAGAAACCACAGCTGGTAGGCTCGTCCCTGCTGCAGCTCCACAGGGGCAGTGATGGAATGTCTGTCTCCTTACTGCCTTCCTTATTTCCTTGTCTCCTTGTTTCCTTCTCACCTTGGCATCCGCACCGGGGGATCACCAGTGCAGCTTCCACGGCAAATTTGTCATTGCTGCATCCAAAAGAAACAGGGAAGAGGTTTGGTGAGAAAGGAGTCTGAGTGAAGAACATGCGGACAGCTCTGTTAGTTCTGTAGAAACTTCTAATGTGGTTGTGTATTTGTTTGAGAGTGTGTGTCTGGATGTGTGTGCATGTGTGTGTGTGTGTGTGAGAGAGGCAGGAGCGGGGGTCATATATTACCCGCCTGTCTGGCGATGAACTGGGCTGCATATCTCCCAGCGAGAAACCCAGCTGGATGGAAGGAACTCTGTGTGTGTGTGTGTGTGTGTGTGTGTGTGTGTGTGTGTGTGTGTCTGTGTGTGTGTGTGTCTGTGTGTCTGTGTGTCTGTGTGTGTATGTGTTGACGTCTCATTGCAGGTTTCCCAGACACATCATTTACACTCTTCACCCTCCAAATTTAGACACACACATAAAACCACACGCTGAAACACACGCACTTATTGGCTGCCAGAATTTTCCAATATTTTTGGAGCGAGAAAACTGGCATCACCATAAATCCCTGGTGGAAATGAGAAGCTTGATGTGTGTGTGTGACTTTGTGTGTGTGTTCTTTGGGACTGGACTTTCTTGATTTCTGCAGAAGATTGTGAGCTAAAGATGAGCAAGCTGATGGAATACAAAAACATCTACCTCCATTGGGATCATCATCTCTCTTTCCTGTCTCTCTCTCGTTTCTTCCCCCCTCCCTCTCTGTTGGGTCTTCTCCCTGCTGAGTCAAAGAGGCATCATCATCATCATCCTGAATCATATTTTCCATCTGTAGACTCCACTTGTGGAATAATGAATCTCACAGATGTGTGCACACT